TGTGGAAACACACACAAACAGAAGGCCCAGGTCCAGAGACACGCCATCCCCAGCAGGTACCACATCTCCTGCAAGCAACCCACAAACCGCGCTGAAGACAAAAGCTGTGGACTGCTCCTTTAGCAGCCCCAGAGCACAGCAGTGCAGGGACCGGGCTCAGAAACTGCTCCCGACCCGCCTGGTAAATCCTCTCCAGAAGGAACTCAGAGGAGGAGGCAGTGACAGGTCCCGAGTTCATGATTTATCAGTAATGTCACACCAGCCTGGCTGAGAGGCTGAATCCCTCCTCCCAGCAGAGCGCTGAAGCACTGGGTGTGCAAGCCACAGCAAACAGCATCACTGACCAGTAAGGCATTTCCCTCAGTAGAAGAGAAAGCCCGTAATCAGCCCAGGACACCCGAACAGCTCTCTTTGCTTGGGTCATTGCAGGGGACTTCAATGACTGAGGATTTAGTGATGACTGTGCTTTTAATACGGTCTGTAAACTGCCCAGCCCAGCTCTGAACGTGCTCCCGCCTTCCTTCCCGAAGGAGAAGCATCATTCCACAAACGGCACCAAATTCCCTCTCTAAGGATGGGACTGATGTCTCAGACTATCCCTGCGTGCTGACCCCCCCAGCGCAGAAGGGAGCTGAAGCAGCGAGGCTAATGAGACTTACCTGGGCAAAGAAACTGTGCGGTCACTCCCCGAACGGTGCTTTCAACCTCCAGAGCATTTGAGCTCCACCCAAACACCAGGTCTTGCTCTACCACCCAGCAAGACCGAACTTTCTCAATCTGCTCCGCGCCGAGGACTTTCTGCCAGATGTGCAAGTCGGTGATGTTCCCACTGAAGGACTCTTTCGCCCCGAAGGTGCCCCCCAGGGAATCCTGATCCTGCCCAATTATGAATGTCCCCTGGCCATAGATGGCCTGGGGGGCAGACGGCCCCACAGCACACAGACCGCTGGCAGATGCCCTCCTTTTACCGTCAGCATAGATGGCCCAGGTCCCGTTTTCCTGCTGCCAGGTCACGCAGAAGTGATGCCACTGCCCATCAGCACGGAACACGGGCAGGTATGGGGAATGGTGCCCGTGGACTATGAGAGCAAAGCGAACAAAGCCTTCCTCGTCGACGAAGCCACGGAGCTGGAACTCGTTAATAAAAGCCGGCACAGCATAGGAGAAGACGGTAGCAATCTCCTGGGTCCTGGTGTCCCACTGGAGGTGGGCGCAGGCTGTGACAGCAGGCAGTGCTGGGAAGTCAGAGAGCACCTTCACGTACTTGGTGTCTGTTTTGTCTCCAAATACCAGGACCGGTACAGTGTGGTCCCCTACAAGGAGAAATTTCAGCCAGCATAAAGGAAGAAGCATGGGCTAGAGCCTGCTCATCTTCCACCGGGATGAAATCATCATTTTCATTTGCCTCCTACTCAAGCTAAGAACTCATGGACGCTGCGGGCAAAGACACCCTGTAAGCATGCAGCAGGGCTTCTGGTTCCCCCATGCCTGGTGGGGATCAGGAAGGCAGACAAACCGAGACTGCATCATTTCAGCAAGCATAACTTCCAGAAACTTAGTTTCCTAGCAAATAGAATTGCAAACAATGAATATGGAAGCACCAGCACGCTCCCAAGCGTCCCAAGCTATAGCAACCAAGAACATAGTCAAGTAAGACCTTTGAGGCATCTGCCATGCTGCTGGGGAATGCCTGTCCTCCTGGTCCTGTCCCTACCACCATTGCTCTGCAGGACCTGCAGGTCACAAATGGCAAGGCTGAGCCATTTGTACAGGGAGATGGTACAGGAGGACAGTGCAGAGGAGCCCCTTTGCAACTCCCTTCTGTTGCAATGCATTAAAAAACCTTGTCAGTGACCAGCTGGGATCACTGTTGTTCATGCTGCCAGCTTGTGACTAGAGGTCCTAGTGTTAGGACAGCGACAATAAAAAATTAGTGGCAACTTTTCCAGTCAGATTGATTTTTCAGAATGAAAAAGAGCCAGCGGTGAATGTGTCTCCAAATACGTATACTCACGTCTCCATTTTGGTTTGTGCAGGACACCATCCCTTTCATTGAGCCAGACAGAACCTCTGATGTGGTGGGACAGCAGCAGTTGGCTAAAGGAAGCCTGCTCACTGTCTTGCGGTTCAAAAAGCAACTGAGCAAAGCGCTGTTGACAGTGTCTGTCTGCATGCCACCAGTCCAGCGCAGTGGCCACATATTCGTACATGTGTCTTGAGGTCTCAATCGTGACAGGAGAGAAACCTGGAGAAAGACACAATGTGGAGAAACAGAAAGCCTCTCCAACCCATCTGCGTGCCACACACACTACAGGGTCAGCCTCTTGCAGCGTCCCCAGGCATTTCCACAGATGGCCTGGTGCACCCCAGGGGAGCTAAAGGCAGGAGCTCATTTCTGTCCAGCCCTTCGGATGTTCAGTGGGCACAGTGTGACAGAAAAGTCCAGACTACATTGGACCTAAAACGAGGGACATCTGTGAGCCTGCTCACAAACTGAATCGCTGGCCTAGGGCTGGAGCTGTGCATGCTTCGTGGGACATGCAAAACCATGCTGAGCTCAGTCCAAAGAGAAAGCTCACTGTGGTATGCCCAGGGATTGCCCTCAGGGCAGCTTGTTCAAAGCAGTTATGTGCAAGTAAATGTTCTCATTTTACCCCCACCGCCCAGCTCCTACCAGCTTCTGCATTTGTGGATGCAATTTGCAAGCACAAAATAATCTGTTTTCTCTGTAGTTACAGTGGTACAAAGACTAGCAGCTGAGAAGTCCTTACTTGATTTTAGACGGTAATTTCATAGTTAGCCAAGCAAATGCTTACCTATGCAAACATAATTTCAGGCACAACACAAGGTATCAGAAGAAGCTTCTTTACCTTTTTTTTTTCTGCCACTGGACACTTTTCTATGCACTGTTTCTCTGTGCTGAATATTGCTTGTAAAAACATACAGAATCGCCGATAAAAACACTAACCTTTAGAAGTCTGATTCTTGGCAAGGGCTGCAAAGGCAAAGAGACTCCTGGACAGACTACCAACCTGTTGGAGAGGATGTTTTGTAACATTAATATAAAGCATTATTATCATCTCAAATACTCAAATGATAAAAAATACTGTAAAATTACTGTAAAACTCACCAGAAAGCTGAAGAACCAAGACTTGGGTCTCAAGTCTCTAGTAAACATGCTGACCAGCTGGAAAGCTTTCACCCTTCGCTAGAATAAACAAAATATTACTGGAGAGGCACCGCAGAGACAGAAGCATTCTGCAGAAAGCTAGTTCTCAGACAAGGCTGCTCTCCTCAGAAAGTCTTGAATCAAAAAAGAGAAAATTACTCATCTACCTGTCCTGGATAGTATACTATCAAAATAATTCTCAGTTCTTAAAGAACTCAAGGTCTCACTTTGTTTCCAGGATACAGATGGATTAACCATAAAACATACACAGATGTGCTGTATTAACAGACAGGCAAGTTGACTAAATAAAGAAGCCATCACCAACTGCATTGTTAAACGGTGTCATATCCCTGGCAGCTTTTCCCGGCTCCTTCAAAGCCCCCAGGACCGCAGCCCCAGAGCAGCAAATCCAGCACCGCTCCGCCCCGCGGCCCCGCCCCGCCGCGCTGCCCGGGGCCGGGGCTCTGCCGGGGACCCCCCCTGCGCCGGTGGAAGGGAACCCCGGGAAAGAGGCTGTATGGTCAGGGTGAAGATGCAAACCTGGGAACTGGCAACGAGATCTCCCACGCAAACAAGCCCTAAAGCTGCGCCGGCCGAGCCATCCCTTCGCTCCCGAGGGGCTCCCCTGCGCGCACAGGCGCGCACAGTCACGCACTTTGCTGCTAAAGGGACGAAGGAGACCAGTCCTGAAGCCCGGACGCCAAACACGTTCACAAACAGCCTTCCGAGGCTCAGCGGTGACTTTTTCAACCTCCA